CGACTGCTGAGAAATACTGCAAGATGTAGTGCTTCAAAATAAACAGTGTAGAACTCCTCCCAAAAAACAAATATATAGACAAAGTTCAACACAAAACTTGAAAGCAATGACACCGTATGTTGGCGGTGTGTTTAAATGACTCAGTTGTCTCCTATTGTCTGTGTTCAGCTTAGTTAGCACATCGGTATCGGCTCATTTTATCGCAGATGTGTGCTGATATTACTCGATTTATTCACCAGTCAAATAGCATTTAGTCTGAGTTTCTATTACACTAGCAGTTCTGTTTCTGGCTGTCACCAGCAGATGGCGCTATATGGATTATAAACAAGCATTATTACTCTCCAGAGTGTCGAGAGGTGATGCACGTACAGTTATTTTCCAGTTAAGCGACCATCTTGTTTTCGTCATAAATCTTTTCCACAAGTGTTTGATAACTTCATTTGAGGGATCAACACGATAAATGTGTTCATCTATATTTATCCATCTCTAAAGATCGAACATAGATCAAAGGAAGTTATCGACCAACATATCGGTATCAGATTTTTTGTCTTCCTAATATCGGTATCGGCCCCAAAAATCGGTCGGGCCCTCGTAGTAACAGCTACCTGGGGGCGACTGGCCTTTTTCATTGCTGGCCCCTCCCTCTGGATCTCTCTCCCCAAACACTTCAACACGACTGTACCGACCTGCCACAACTTAAATCCCTATTTTTTCCTTCAGTAGTCATTTTCTTTCCCAAAAAAAAAAATTGATTTTGTAAGTTTGTCGTTTTTAGATTATATTTTGTTTTTGTTTACATCTCAAAAGGTTGTTGTTGTGTTTTTAAAGGGACATATTGAGCACCAATAGGTTGTTGGCGTCTGTCAGGCTCCTGCTGCTCTTGTTCATACAGGTGTAGCAGTATTAAGTGTTAAACGTTCATGTAGAGGTGTGAAGACATGTGGAGGTGTTGTTATAAATAGATATAAACCGGGGAAGGCTGATCCAGATACAGGGAGGTTTGAATCAATGCAACATGACCTGAGTGTTTTACACATCACATGATGTTTACAGGTCTTATTGAACATCACTCTATCGTATTTATGAAACACAAACTAGTTAAAAAACATGCTTTGTGGCTCAAAGTCTAGCTCCATAAAATATAATAGATTAACCTCAAGTGATGTCACTTGAGTCAGCATTACTTCAACCTGAAAACTAGAAAGAAATGATTTTACCCGACCTCTTCAGTGTGGTCATGGAGAAACACCAGCAGGTAGCTTGTGCTAGCGTGTGGTAGCTTGCATTAGTATCACTAGTTTCTTTTGTCTGTTGTTGTCAAACAGAATAATTCTGAACCTCAGGATATACTGGAGAACAAAGGATTTGTCCGAAAGCATTCTTCATAGCCTTGGAAAAACAAGAGGCATTTTTTGGCCGCATTTAAAGGAGAGCTTGATGCGTCGCTGTGATGCAATCGGTCTTCAAACGCACCCCGACGGCCCTGATTTCAGAGACAGCTCCTGTCTTCATGCAGCCACTACGATTACACACCTGAATCCCTGACCAAATCCTAATTTGTCAAGTTGCATGTGGGAAATGTATTTTATTCACAAGGAAGTTTGCATTGAATTCAGAAGAATGTTTTTGGTCGGACAGTGTCAGAGGAGTGTCCGACTCATCTGGAAGTTTGTAGTTCACCCTCGCTGAAGGAAACCCTTCAGGGTGACTTTGTGAGAGAAACAGATGTGTTCTGAAACATCAAGTCTTAGCGTGACTTCCTAACTCAACCGGCACTTCTCTGCACACTGAACATCTGGTTTTGTATCAAAACACCTCAGACAGGCAGAGTGTTTTCCAAACTGTAACCTTAAAGGTGTAACTCTCTCCTTTGTTGTCCCCTCCAGGTACCTCTACCTGCTCTTCTCCGACGACGACCACCTACCGTTCGACAACTGGGTCTTCAACACAGAGGCTCACCCTCTGCCCGTCATCAAGAAGGACCAAACAGACATCCCCAACACGGTCGAGTAACGGAACCAAAACAAAAGAAAACACAGCAAAGTGCGAGAAACCTCTGATCCTGTAAACCTGAGCCTCCAGCTGAAAACTCTTTAGCCATTGGGAGTAACAGATGCCTCTTTATGGGATTTGATTTTTGAATGGGATCAAAAAAGGAGTTGAAGCCTGTTGGCACTGATTCCTGCTGTAGATTTGATTTTTTTTTTGTCTGTTTTTTGGAGCTCTGGTTGATTCCAGCTGCTGATCTGAACAAACATATCGACCGCTGGATTACGTAAACACTCATCCAAGGAATGCAATGGTATCATCAGAGAGATTAAATATTCCTGCAGAATCAATCCTCTCTGAAGATTTCATTACATTTAGTGGGCGTCGAGTTCACTTTCAGAGTCGGAACAGTTCTCACTTTGTCGGTCAGTGATTTTGTTGTTTGTAGCTGCTGCTGCTGCTCCTGTTTGTTTCTGTGTGGAGACCTGGACCACTTGTCCCCCTTAATGTGGGTACTTTGGACAACTTTTGGGACCCGAAAATCCAGAAGAACTCCTTCTCTAGTCTGAGGGACTTTGAAGGCTGACTGCTCAAGGGCGCTCCATGACATCACAACCAAACTCTGTCTTATGCTTCAAAATCTGATTAGGATCCAACGATTGTCCCCAAAAACCACCTTGCTTCCACCTTCCTCTCCCTCAGAGGATGACTCTGTCCTCTAGAAAACACCTGGGTGTCTCTGTGGGAGTCAAACAAAGACGCAGCACAACCCGGGCCTTGTTTTTTTTCTTTTTTTATAAACCCACAGAGCTTTTTAGACGTCTGCTTCCCTCCATCACTCGAGCGCCTGACAGCTTCTTCCTCCCTCAGAGCTGAAGTGTGACACCGGACGAGTCACACCAGCTCTGTACCTGCCAGTAAATTCACCTTCACAAAGTTTACACAAAGCTGTCCCCCTTCTTCTTCTTCTTCTTCTTCTTCTTCTTCTTCTTCTTCTTCTCCTGGAGATCTCATACACGCTCATGTGTTCAGATTCACTTCCTTTTCTCACATTGTCACATTTTTTACAGGGTTTGACTGAAACAGGTTTTTTAAAGCTGATGACGCTGACTTCTTCCACCAAATACTTTCTGAATCTTCACACACAAATTACACATTTCCCCTTCTGTGTTTACCGATTCTTACTAGAAAAAAGCCCGTGTTCGATGATTACACGACTTTGAGCGTATAAAAGTGGACAAAATCTTACAAAACGGTGTCCAGTCTTGTGGAGCTCTCCTACATTTCATGCCGACGGAGTCAGCTCAGCTGTATCAGAGCGTGGTAATGAGTTGGGCTGTGAGATAGACGGTTGAATGCTCGGGGGGAAAAGGATGGACCTTGAGTTGGTTTTTAACTCATGTTAACTCATTTGAGCTACTGTGTTACAGAGTCACACACAAGTTCTCACAGCCAATCGTTTTGTTGGATGAAAGCAATATTATGTAACAATTAACCTTAAAGAAATCATTAGAGGGCACTTTGACTTTTAATAGGACGATTGGAGCTTCTCTTTCCTGCTTCATGCCCCAGAAGCATGTTTGCCCCTTTGCTTCGAGCATGAGGGGAAACTCCAAATATCCAGCAAATTCAAGGGAAAAATACATCTTTGAGTTTCCTTCAAATCAACTGATCGCTTTAACGTCTTTTGAATGAGGACGCTTAAATCTTATTCCCTCTTTAAGGGTGTCTTAGACTCTCTCTGTGTCAAAGCAGAGTATTTAAACACCAGGTAATGTTCTCTAAGAGGAAACATGTGATCTTCTTTAAAACCTGTTTCTATCATCCCCTCCTCTTCTTCCCTGCATTGCTTCTTCTCGTCTCCATTCAGCAGGATCTTCTCTCCTCTATGAGGAGACCCAGACACTCGACACACACACACACACACACACACACACACACACACACACACACACACAAGAAGCCATACTGATTGAATACAGCTTTATCATCCTGTCCCCGAGCTTTTTGTTCCCTCTAGAGTCGTGTCAGCGTCATCACAGTCTCTCACTCAGCGGCTTGTTTAGACAGATGTAAAGGTTTCTCCTGATGTTACACAGAACTGTAGACCAGATCAGACCCCGTGTTTAGTCTTTAATCTAGTGCCTTCACTGTTGAAAAGGAGGAGAGGAGAGCAGCTCACACAAACACAAGAGTCCAGTCTTCAAATATTCACTGAGCACTTCCCAGGAGTGAAATACTAAAACCAGACTCTGTCAAAGGACAAATCCTGCTTTTTGAATTCAAGATTTCAACAAGGAAGTCGCCTAAACATTGGTTTTAAAAACCTTGGCGTGTTTGCTTTTTGTCTGTGATAACTGCTGGATCAGACCAACAGAGGTCTACATGTAGATTTCATCATTTCAAATTCAAGTAGAAAAATCCTCCTTTATGCCGTTTCATCCTCAGAAGTCTTAGTGTAACCGACATCAGACTGGAAACATGAGTTTAAGTAGAGCGCAGAGTCATCGTTCATTCCCTTTATCACGCTGACATCTAGTGGTGAGACTGTGTCATTACAGCCCACAGAGACCTGGAGTCTGAAAAGTGGAGAACATTAAAAATACTGACGTGTTAGGAAGGAAATGTTTCATGTGAAAATCAGACTCATCTTATAAAATGTTTTTCAAAAGATAAAAACAGTTTTTATGATTTTGGACGCCTGATGAAAGGACCCGAGCTCAGCCAGATGTTCATCACTTTGAGCCTTTAGATGTTTATCTGAGACATGATGGAGAAACATGGTGAATAATAAGCAGTCTTAAGTTTCACTGCAGGATCCAGAGACATGAATCCGTCTGATTTAAAGTTCAAATCTCTTTAAAAAAAATCAAATCTCAGCAGGTTTAAAGTCCTTTGACATCAGTTTTGGATCAGTCTATTTAATGCTTTCATCTTTTTACCTCCAAACTAAGAGACTCTGATCAGCTATTGATGCTAAATAAGATCCTTCTACTACAAGAAGAGCTCATTAAATCTTTCATTTTATAGAAACTGAAAAGAGAAACAGAGAGAGACTGAGACGTGCTCCAAAAATACCTCTGAAGTTTAATCATTTCTTGTTTTCAACTTGCCCAAAGTGTTGAAACGAACACTGCTAAGTTCCTGACTTTCACCCACATATCGGATCATCAGCGCCCCCTGTCATGTAGTACCAAACACATCAGTCAGAAGCTCTCGCTGTGAGGAGACTCTCATGTCGCTGTACAGACGACGCTCTGTTTCTGTTTTCTGTGATATTTTAAATGTTTGATTTTTTTTGATTTTTTTTGCTGATTGTGTTAATTTATTCTGCATTAGTGATCATAGGACTTGGGGAGGGGTTTGGGAGTGAACCCCCTCCCCAAGGTGGCGCTGTGGGGGCGACAGATATGGAGCGTCAGCGGGTCTTATCTTATTTATCTACCAAAAAAAAAGAACGAGAGGTTTATGAACCGCCTGCCAGTGAATCAAACACACGTACAGGAGGAGCTGAAATGAATGAATGTACCATCCAATGTGAAGTGAAGAATATTTGTATGCATCCTTTTTTTTTTATTTTTTTTTTTTATCTTTGAAAGCACAAAACGTAGAATCAGAGTGAGCAGGCAGAGAGAGAGATCATGATCCTGATCGAGGGAGCGATGAGCCCGTTAGTGTTTGTAGGAAATGATCCAAATCTGCATCCCGAGGTGTGATTGAGAATACTGGAGCGTAAACATTTGATTGTTTTCATCTTTTTTTTTTTGACACATAAACATGAACATATCAGAGTACGATAAAGGAAATGTTCCTCAAACAGTACAGAGTTACAACACTGAACCTGCTTTATGAAGCTGCATAGAAAAAGAGACATGAAGGTGTCAGATCAGAAGATTTAAAGACAGATTATTGGTCACTGAGTCACAGATATCAACTTCTGTATTTGAAGTACCAGGATGTAGAGAGGCAGGAGATGAAGAAAAGTGACATGACAGTTTACAGTTTATAAACATGGCTCCCTGTCTATTATAAAGACGCTTTCATATTTACATTTTACCTATAAGTTCATTTACGCCTGGAAATGTTCAAATAAGAGATTAAAGTGCGTTCTATCAGGTGATGAAAACTCTAATAATTCATCTTAAAGCATAATTTATTACAGTACACTGCAGTCAATGAGACTTTAGCGTTTATTTGTTGTATTTTAGTTGGAAATTCAAACTGACGCAGAAAGAAATGGCGTGCAGAAGTGATGAGTTAAAATTTCATGCAGAACCTCATTTGAAAAAGTATCGATTTAAGGCTGCATCGCTGAATTAATTAAAGTATCGACAGGCCTAGATTTGATTATTGAACCTGTTTTCTTTGTTTGTTTTTTAAAGGTGGAGGGTTTTTGTTGTTTTTGTCCTTGATTCGGTTTATGGTTTGAGTCGGTGGTCTGTTAATTTCACGACGGGCATGGGATCGAACCCGGTGTGCAGGAGAAGAGACAAGTTTGCCTCCCAATGAGGAGATGTGTTTGAGCATTCCTTTAGACTGAAATTAGATTTGAAAAGTAATTTTGGGATTATTTGTTCATCAAATCAACTGTTGATAAAATTTAAACCGTGTTTTTGGAAAGCGGACGCTTTAATTTGTCTTAAATATCCAAAACAAAGTCAGGTTGTGGGTATTAATGACATCTTAAAGGGTGGATTCCTTCAGCAGGAAGATTATTTCTGCAGATTTTCAGACAAATTTATGATCCGTTTGTTCGATGTGAATTAAATCAAATTTAACTCTACCTGATTTAAACAAAAAACTTTTTTTTAGTATTTCTTCCACTGGTGTGACACCGATGTGGTCGTTTCACTGCCTGAGACAGAAAGAAAAAGCAGAATGTATTTTTGAGTTTCTCATGTGAGCCGTCAGTATAAAGCTCTGCTGTCGCTCCACATCGAGTGACGTCACACTGCTGCTCACGTCCTCGTGCAGATTTAGAGTTTATGATTTTGATTTCTTTCTGATTATTGTGTTGACGTGTGTGATGATGCTGTCTTTCTATTGATGAACATTAAAGGGGCAATACCACCCGTTTGAGGACTTCAACAGAAAGAAACCCCTCTCATGTATCACACCTTCATCTCTTATTTTCTGCACAATCACTGAAGGCGACTCGCTTGTCCCGGGACTCAAATCTTTAGAATCAAAAGTATAAAAAAGGTTGCCGTTGCCCTTTACAGGTTTGAAATGTGTAATCCTCTGAAATGTATCTGTACAAAGTATTGCTGATAATCATTCCATTGCACATAGTTTACGTTGCGTTTTTATGCAATATTTTAATTTGGTGGGGAAATCTGTTTTATTGTGTTAATATTATTATGTAAATATTCCATTCTGGCAGATGAGCCGTTCTACATTTATATAAAAATCTTCTGAGCTTATGGATTAAAGTGATATTAATAAGCAGCAGACTTTTTAAGAAACTATATTTGTTACACTTCTATTGTGAATAAAGAATCTTTTAATAAGCTTGTGTTGTCGTGTTGTTTTTTTCTGTGAGCCTGCAGAGTGTCCGTCCTCAAAGTTTATTTGTAAAGCACCTTCCAAGAACAGACGTCTCAAAGTCTCAAAGTCTCAAAGTCTCAAAAATAAAGAATTGAACAGAGATAATACAAACTAACTCGTATTTTAAAATATCTATGATGAATTCAGACTCTGAGACTGATCTGTAGATTATCATTTGCACATTATTTCATCAGCTAACCTTAAAGCCTCTGTACACCCACACAGGTGATTTTAATTATTCTGGCTGATTAGACCAGGACAGGAGGTGAATGGGTGGAGCTATGATGAGATTAAAAGATGTAATAAATTCTAATGGTGCATTCGTGTGGTGTCGGACACATCGGAAAAACGAGTTTCTGAGTTGTAAAATGCACATGAAGTCAGAACAACAAGCTCTGGAAGGATATTCGTCATCACGAGGTGCAAAATATGTTTAGTTAATGTTAAGATACTTTTTTTTTTATCAATTCACATATTGCACATCAGCTTTTTGCTTGGATATAAGTGGTAACAGTTACATTTCACACATCTTCTATATTTGCTTCAAAGCTGTTTTTACAGTCCTACTTTCTGAACTGAAATCATGTGAACGATGAAGTCGTAAGGGATGACAGTCCTTACGACAGACAGCTCAGCAGTCTGTTTCTTTACTTTGTGATTGATTTGAGTCGCACTCGTTGCCCTTTTCTCTGACATTTTGATTCACTTTTTGATTTACTGGTGAAGCGTCTTTGTTAATAAATAATAAAATCTGGTTTTATGATACTTCTCTTTTCCCAACAAAGCTGGGTTGTAACACTCAGGCATACTGAACATTTTGTACATGTTAAAATTAGTAAAGATTATTCATGGCATGTCATTTCATCTGATTCAAAAAGTCCTAATTAACCTCCGGCAACATGAATAATCACTGAGAAGAGGTGACTGGTTGAAATACTCTCTTTCTTCATTTATAAAGTTCTGAATATCTTGTTCAAAAGTTGAGATGTTTGAAGTACACGACTAGACAACATCAAAACTGCAGGTCTAATGTTAATCTATTTAATACATTTAATATGAAAATGACTTCAATAGCTTGAATGTGGCGCCGGTACCCCCTTGTACAGAGGCTACAGTCCTCCAAGCGGACGGCCCGGGCTCCTCTCCCCTCTCTCTAGACTCTTTGCTATCTCAAAAAATACATGAAATTAAATTAAAATAAACCTTTAAAAAATATAGCTTTCATGCTTTTGAACACCTTAAAGCTTTTTTTTTTATCAAACAATAATTAGGTCTTATAGAGGAATAAACTTTATCAACAATGACATGACATTTTTAACTCTATATCTATACATATTTTGACCTTTCATTTATATTTCTCATGATTAAAAGCATAAAGGAGTCACTGATCTGTAGAATAGAAATATAATAAAGATAGTCATCACAGATGCCGACGCTGCTCTGTTTCCTGACTCGACTCGTTTTGTTTGCAGACTAATTCTTCCTGTTTTATCTCCGACATGTTTCTTATCTGACTGAAGCTCTGCAGCGAGAGCAGAAATAAGGAAAGATTGTTTCTGTTCCTCTTTATCACCTCTGCTCGCCTCCACAAAGATAAAAACAATAAACTGTCAGGTCTGCTGGATTCAGATCTTATTGCTTTCAGAGGACGGAGACCTTTTTCTTCGTGAGGTGTTTCAAATCCAACCGTCTCGTATTGAAAAAGGAAAGCTGTTACAGATATGACTGCACTGGTTTTATTCATAACACAATGTACAGAAGATAAAATGTGAAGATGAAAACATATAACCTGCAGAAGCCTGAGGGACAGTGATGGTTCTCCAGGGTGAGACAGCTCATCTTGATCCACCTTCAAGAATCTTTTTCACCAGGTCTTTCTACTCCCTTGGCTTCCACATCGTTTTGTTTTGTTGTATTTTGTTTGTCTTTATGGTTTTCCTGCCCTTAAAGGTCCAATCTGTCAGATATCTACTGATTGAAATGATGAAGTGACCTCACCATATGATCAGACATTAAGGAAACATGCTATGTTGAAGTGCTGGCTTCTCTGACAACAATGCAGCAGCCAGTATGTCCTCCTTCTAACTTTAGATTCTGGTCCTGAATGGTTTGTTTTTGTTTAGAGAAGTAGGTGGCACCCCCACACGGCCGTTTTGGACACCCCTCAGGTTGCCGGGCAAATGTCAAACCAACAGGTGTTACAGCGATGGAAGCAGTCAAGAGAAGTGGTTCAGATAGAAGTGATTGTACCCGACCTAAAAAGCCTCTGCATGTTCTAATAAGCTCCACGAGCAGAAACGTGCTCAAACTAGGATCAATATTGGAGATGATTTTGAAAAATGGAGAGAGGTTAGAACACAGAAAGGTTTACAGACCCATGCAGAGCTGGATAAACACTGAAGCTTCAGAGTCCACCACATGGTGACCTGAGTGAGCATTGACTCTAGAGAGGAGGAGGGGGAGACAGCTCTCTCTAATGTTTTGAATTTGGACTGCAGTACCCGTTTTAAACACTAGGTGTCAGAGTTCCTGCTCTTTTAAAGTTTTGCATACAAACATATTTTTATCTACATTTAAAATGTTGTTTTCAGTGCGACAAACGACAAAGATGTAACCTCTTCGTTTGAGAAGTAATGCTACTTTACCAGCTAGTTGATCCTTCGGCCTGCATTCTGTCAAATGGCCAGCAGGGGGTGGGACTCTATTCATTACTATAGGGGTCCTATGTTTCATTCTGTCAGTTTTCAAAAGGTATGAAGCATGTTAAGCCTCCTTTTTTAACAGATATCAAAGTCACATTTTTGCCACATTAAATGAGAATTAGAAGCAGAACGAACAGAGAGGATCCTGACATGTGTTGACAGCAGACGGCTGCCTGCTCTCACTCTGCGGAGGAGGTTTGACTCAACTCGTGTTTAGAAGCATAAACGCAAAACAAACAACATCTGTTCTTTATATCTGTCTGATTTTTATCGGGTGTTGCAAAATGAAGTTTCTGCAATTCTCATCATCAAAAACAAAACTGTAAAACACAAAGCAATAAGAACTGAAACACGATAACGTTCCTCACTATCTGAAATGTTTTATTGTAAGAAAATCATAAACATTTATCTTCATCTAAAAGACTAAATTGCTTTAAACTGCTGGGTTATTGAGTTTAGAGTACTGAGTGTAGCAGGAAGTACTCCTGACTGCCACCAGGGGGCAGCAGAGGACCATAACGCTCTGCTCAGAGAGTCTAAGGCTGCCCACCTCCTCATCCGTTTAGACTAAAATATGAATGCTAATTTTAGCTCAGACTGTTTTTGTAAGTTTTTTTATGATTTCCTTTTAATCTCAAAAACAGCCTCAGTCCAAAAGTCTCTGAAAGGTTTTTTTTTTTTTTATGTTTCTGGTCTTTAACTCTCCTTCCTTGTACAAAGTCGACCCTCTGGCAACATCTCCACTTAAGCCTGACGTGTAAAGACGCAGACGAGTCGGTGCATGCACATCACTCACAGCACAAAGGTGGTTTGTCCTCAGTCAGGGAGAGAAGGAACCCTGTGGTTTGAGAGAGAGAGACGGATGTTATCAGTCCGGCAGATAGAGTCACAGAGACTTTGATGTTGTCTCAAAGAAGCTTTGAACTCTTATGATAATGATGTAAACACACATGGATTCAAATTACTGCACTTTGATTTGATGTATTCAACTTTGAACTTCCATCCCATTACGACTCAGAGACAAATACAGTTCTCCATCTCTTGTCTCATAAATTATGATTATTTTTAAAGCACGACTGATTAATCAGCCAGCCATGAATATCGGCCGATATAACATATCCAGTGACTTTCTGTATCGGCTAATGTTACCGCAGATATGCACTGATAATTCTCAATTTATTCACCAGTCAAACAGCATTTAATATGAGTATCACTGTGTTACACTGGCATTTCACAGTATCACATGGATGGTTGTAAATCATTGATAGGAGCCAGTTTACTGAATCAAAAGTACATCAACTTTTCATAGTTTGTTTTTGTATCTTTTACGTCTATGGATACTTTTCATCGATGCAAGATGGGAACACAAAGGTGAGTTAAAGTCAGACTGCTGGCCTGGCTTGCTTTAACTCTAAAAATATATATCTATGAGGAGGGGGAGCTAAAGAAAAGGTTTTGAATGTTTCAGCACAAGACTGAGACACGTCGACTTGAATTCTAATATGTAGGAGATTTAAAAGTGCTTTCAAAAATCCCAGAATGAACAAAATGAAAAGTAAACTTGATGCTCGTTACAGAATATGAAGTGTAATCTGTAGCCAGGAGAGACGGAGTGAAGAGGGTACTTCAGTTTAGACTCAGACTTGGTTTGAAAAGTTTCAGCACCACGGACAGAGACACACAGACTCAGATTGGAAGAGAGAGAGAAGCACGACTTTCAATCCTTCATGATTAGATGTAAATCCACTGAGGTATGATCAATTCTACTTTATATTCTGCACGTTTGGTATTCATATATCACTGTTTATCCAGGCTGAAATGAATTATTACCTGATACCTTACTATATACAGTAGCGTGTATTGGACAACATTGTTTCAGTATACTAAATAGTCATTTTAGAACTCAGCAAAAAGCTTTTCCAGGGGGCGTTGGTGGTTGGTGCGTGCGCCCCATGTAATGGAAGCTGTGGTCTTTCAAGCGGGCGGCCCAGGTTCAAATCCCATCTTTCCTGCATGTTATTCCCTACTCTCTCTCTCCCTGAATTCCGACTCTATCCACTGTACCTTTCTCTCCAATGAAAGCACAAAAAAAAGCTTTTCAAGATGCAAACGTTCACTGTCTGAATTATAGGCTCAGCAATTACATACCTCATTATTAGCAACTGTGTGTGTGTGTGTGTGTGTGTGTGTGTGTGTGTGTGTGTGTGTGTGTGAAACAGCTGACCTGTTGCCATGGATGTTGATGAAAACAAATATCTTGAC